GTGCTTCTGAACTCTGGCCCTCACTCAATCTTTCTGCACCTTAATAAAACATAGAGGACAGCAGAAAAAACAAGATCAATTGCTAAATAATACAAACGAAAGGAGTCAGATAAAATGGTGCCTGTGTTGTGTTTATGTGCCTCATTTCTCTCTTGGTGGCACAAGTGCAAAAAAGTGAATAGAATACAAGGTGAGATATGTATTTAGAATGCACAGTGCAAAAATATATAATACATTAATCAGGTCATAGCAAACTGTATCTTTTCCCTCAATATGTGTGAATGTAAAACATGAATGTTGCTGACCTTGGGCAATGAAAGTACAGATCTTCAACAATTCGATAAGCCTTCTTTGGTCCATCACCAGTAGAGGAATGTCAGAGGACTTTCTCCTTGACGCGCTCCTCTCCTCCTCCCAAACTCCAGTAGAGAGTGTCTCAAACACAGAGAGCAGCTCATCCTGCATCACAGGAAATAATAGAGTATAGTTTTACAGTATCCCACACATTTTGGGACTGGACACTGTTGCATGCCGGCAAATATACATTTTGCTGGCAGAGACGGGAAAAGAGATATTGGGGGGAAATTGCATTGCCCTGAAGAAAGTTTGCATTTTGTAATGTGTTTCTTCAAACAAACAAAAGCATAACATATTCAATGCATTTGTGGGATTGGAATATAAATGCTAACTGGTAAATAGTACCAACTACACTTGATGGTAGTTGGTATGAGGCATTTGTCTCATAAATAACAAAGGTTCATGAGATGTAGAGGAAGATGACATCATGGCCTGAACACCAACATGATGAGTAGACTAGCTTTTACATTTATACATAGTATACATGGAGCATATTCATATCACACGGCCTTCTCACTTCATCACAAACAAAACATGGTGGAGTTCACTTGGAATCTGACTGTTAACTGAGATCCTGTTGTAGGAGGACTAAGTACAGTGGTTTGGTCCACACTGGACAGATCACAGCCACCTCATCGGCCTAAACAGAAAAAGTTCCTTTAAACCACACCAAATAATTAAGAAGGGAACAAACAAGATCTTACTTGAAATCCCTGTATAGTTTTCAGCTGGCAGGTGGCCAGCCATATGGCCCACTGCAGACAGAGAAGGTACAGTACGCGGGGCTTCAAAGCTGTGTTTCCCACTGATTTGAGAGCTGTTCTCCAAAAAACATGAGGGTCTGAAGCAGCAGGGTCATCTTCTGTCATCTGTAGAACTGCAGGGGACAAGAGCAAGGCTGGTAAAGTCAGAGTTGAGCAACCCTTCAAATTAATATAAAACTGGATGTATGACGTAAGTTCCTGTGTCATCTACATCTACGGTCCTCGTCCTACCTCTCTCTGTGGCTCGTGTGAGGAGCAGCTCCGCTTCTGAGAACTGAGACTGAGCAATGGAGCACACACAGGCATTGTACACCACGGTCAGCTCCAACTGTGTGTGATCTGCAATAGGAGGGATACCTGCAGGAGAGGGACATGGGGAAAGGAAAGGAGGGGGATAAACGACGCATAAAGGTAACAGCTGAGCTCTCTGCCCAAGGTAAGCCTTATCACATGACCTCTGAGTGTGGCTACAATCAAATCCCACGACCCCAAAGTGGGTTTCGGGCACATTCACACATGCCTGTGAGCATTATGAAGGAGATGGAGCACCTTGGATTTTCCTTAAAAGTTTGTGAAACTCAGAGGAACACCATATCAGACGGCTGTGGTTCTGGCTCTGGTCTCGGGTTAATGCATCTCCTCCTCCTTCTAGCTGCTGAAACAATGACGTGAAAGCAAACTTTACTGTAAGTACAAATAAGAGGTACTCATACTTTAATGGAGTATGTACTTCATATTGCTACTACACTAGAATTTAGAGGGAGTACTTTTTACTCCATAACACCTATTAGATAACATTTTAAGTTACCTCTCAAAAAATACTGTACATGTGATCAGTATTTAATTAATGCATATAGTTAGCATTACCCAACAGTATATAAATGAGTTAAAATGAGCTCCTCCTACAACATTAGAATACTGCTTTCATGTTAATACATCCGTAATAATAATAATAATAATAATGAAATACCATGTGATATTCATCTGTGATGTTATTTGTTCAGCTAAAGTAATGAATACACCAAACAAGTGGAAGACAGTCTGTTAATAGAAATTTCCCCCAAAAAGACATATTAGGCAGTAACGTTATGTCACTAGAAACCAGAACGTTACGTGACGTTATCAAGGATTACACGGTGCTTTTATAATCTATTATCAAGCATAAACAGATTTATATAACGCTAAATGAACGTTACAGTAGGCTATGTATTAATGTTGTAGAGGCTAACGTTAAAACACTTCCTACCTTCCACTTGTTCACCACCTCGTTGTTCTCCTGGCTCCAGCTGTCTAATAAACACAGTGGTTGATGCATTTTATTTGACCTTGTATCGCTGTTTTGAGGAAAAAGTTGGTGGTGTTTGGTTTGAACTTTCCCTCGTTGGGTCAAAGGGGAGCTGGCTCACACAGGAAGTAAACATGAGGGAGTTTAGTGCAGTGCACTGGGGCGGTGCTGCCCCCTGTGGACAAACCAGGGAATTACACCAGCAGTCTGCTAACTGTCCAGCAGGTGGTGCTGTGACAGAGCCAAGTTCACTCGTGTTCAATTTTAGGATTTAGTTTTTACAGCCATCAAACTGAGAAGTGCTTCTGCGGTTTGTGTTTGGTGATTAGCGTTGTAGCCCTTAAAATAAACATACAGACACACTCTGTATGCACCATCTTAATGTGTTCAGCACAAAGCAAGTGAACACATGCCAAGACCGTAATTGTATTGCAGCTGAGTCATCCCTAAGACTGCCAGGACAGCCATTTTTCTAGTTGTCCCTCCCAAGGTGACTCCCTCTTTTCTCACGCAATTCCAGTCCTCTCCTTTTATCCCTCTATTATCCCTGTTGACTGCAACCTCCATCGTCTGCCTTCCTCACAATGCCCTCCTCTTTTCTTTCATTGTCTCAAATCACAGAAAGCTCTAAATATACCACTGTGGAAAAACAAGGGAAAAGTCCTGACCACTGCTCCACGATACTCTCACACACTTGCAGCTACATAGGCATGCACACAAAACAATATACACAAAACATGTCTTTCATTCGGGCTCTGCACATCTTTTTTCTCCTGTAGGATGGGTTTCACGTTTTGTGACTTTTTCCTCTGTATCGATCCTGCTATTTTCCATCTCCCCTCTCTCCATCCATCCCTTCAAGGACAAGGTCATTACATAGCAGGAGCCTCCCACCTCCTTTTCTGCTGTCCCTCTGCCAGTGTCATTCACATGGTAGGACTTCCAGCTTTTAATAAAAAGGTTGGTAAACGGTTGTTACTGTGATGAATCCACCCATAGTAGCATTAAAGTGCAGACAACAGCAAACATCGGCCTGTTCTGTTGAGTTTTACAGCTCCCCAACAGTGAGACTTAGCACTGTTTTAAATATGAGTATACTGTTGCATACACTCTCACTGGTGATAAAAACCCAAATGTGTCCATGTTTGTGGTATTTCTCCAGCGGGTATATATTCTAAAACAGAATGATACATTTGTCTTCTTTTTCTGTAGACTTCAGCTGCTTACTGTTGGTTCAAATAACAAGATATTGAGGAACATGAGCTACACTGAAAACAAGGCCCTGATAACATCACAACTGAATTCTGCCTACTCTGCTCCATTATCCTCATTTATTAAACATGAAGCTATTGGAGAGAGGGTGCATGTTATTTCTGTCCTGCATGGCTTTCGGCCAGATGTGGTGCAGATGTGGTGCAAAACACACTGGAACTCTATATGTTTAACTAATAGCAAACTAGCATGTTGCCTGCATTTTAAGACATTTCAGAAAAAAATAATGATAACATGTAATGTGTTTCACCTTTGAAAATAAGATTTAAGCACCTTAAACAGACTCATTGCTGGAGGACAGGCTAAGGGCCTTGAGTGTGACACAGTCCCCTGGGTGTGATTGGGCTGACAACACACGTGTTCGCAGGGATGAAGAATGGCTGATACAGAGAAATGACTGTGTGCTGAACCGTTTTTTCTTCAATATGTGTCTCAAGGGAAGGCCATATTCACCGTTCATGCTCATTTAAGGATTGCAGAGTAAACTCAATCACCCTGAATTTGAGTAATCAATAGTTGCTGTATGTGCTCCTCAGAACTGGTTCTTGTTTGAGAACAGACATCCCTTTAGATCAGCAGAGGCAGCTCAGTTTGGTTTTGTGTGAGTGGTGTATACCTTTTATGTCAGTGCCACTACATGCGTACATCTGGAGATGATGTACTCTTCCGCAACAAAAAAAGAAGAAAGAGATTAAAAGGAACGTTTCAAGTATAACGGGAGAAACAAACCTTGTCTGCTTGTGTGTGTGTTTTTGTAGTAAGAGAGGGAGGGGGAGAGTCTGTCAATGGCCCAGCATTTGAGTTGACTCCCGGGGGGGTTGGCGTGGATCTGCAAACTCACACTGCAGCAGTACAGCTACAGAGAGCATCAGCAGAACACACTGCACACAATCAGTTCACACAGACTTTAGCCACAGCATACCCAAAATATAAATATATGTCTTCAAATGTGTAAAATCTTGCAAAAGTAATAATTGATCAAGGCTGTTTATAAAAAGAGCAATAGTCATTGGCAGCATCGAATAGGCCTAAAATGACTCATGTCTTGATCATTGAACACACTAACTGTATTGTTCACGTGTATTTATGCACAAAATGTCGAAAGTGAAAATCAAACTGATGCTCGAACATATAAAACCATTATTTGGCTGTGTTGCTTTGATGAAACACACCTTGTTAACACATTCAGTAAAAATACAGCTCATCAATAACTACACTGATTAAGGTGAATATATTCCTGCGCAGGCAGATGTCTCTTTAAACAGAGTGTGTCTTGGTGCTGACTAGTGAGTTTTCCCTCCCTCCTATATAAACCCAGCGCTCCCGCTCCTGCTGCAGTCAGTTCTCATCCGGTCCAGCCAACATGAGTTTCACGGTAGACCACCACCTTTTCGGCCCGACCTCGTACCGCAAGGCTCGGCCTGCCTCGGTGTCTTCCAGCGGCTTTCACTCCCAGCGCCGCCGCCCCACCTACAGCCAGCCATCCTCCGTGGACGGCTTGGAGACCTTCAATGGCGACATGACACGGAGGAACGAGAAGGAGATTCTGCAGACTCTGAATGACCGGTTCGCCGGCTACATCGACAAGGTGCGTAACCTGGAGATGCACAACCGCAACTTGGAGGCAGAAGCGGCAGCTCTGCGGCAGAACCAGGCCGGGCGCGCCACGGTCGGGGAGCACTACGAGCGAGAGCTGGGCGACCTGAGGGGTCTCCTGCAGCAGCTGACCGGGGAGAAGTCCCGCGCAGCTCTAGAGCACGAGCACCTGGAAGAGGACATCCAGCACCTGCGGGTCAGGCTGGAGGATGAGGCGCGCAACCGGGAAGAGTTGGAAGCTGCTGCGCGCGCCATGAAGAAGTACGTTGAGGAGTGCCGGCTGGCGCGGATGGAGCTGGACAAGAAGCTTCGTGCCCTGGAGGAAGAGGACGTTTTCCTGAAGAAGAACCACGAGGAAGAAGTGGCCGAGCTCCTCGAGCAGATTCACGGCGCGCAGGTGAGCTTCGACATGCGAGACACTCACAAGGCGGACGTCACCGGCGCACTGCGAGAGATCCGCGCGCAGCTGGACGGTCACGCATCCAAGAGCTCAACGCACGCGGAGGAATGGTTCAAAGGTGAGTTGGGTCAAAAATAGTTAAAGTTAAAACAAAAAACAAAAAAATCAAAAATTTATTTTTGTGTGCAGTATAGTGTTGGTTCTCTGTCCGTGGTGCTGAAGTCTATCCCTGTGATTTACGTGCCACTTCTGAATTAGCCTGTCGCCGAATTGTAGCCCTATTGTAATGCATAATGTGATTTAAGAAGAATGAGCAGTAGCTTGCAGTATTGTGCTCATATCAGGGTTACAAGCATCACTTACTTTTTGATGAGACTATCAACACTGAAGCTATTACCTATGTTGACTTCTAAATCTTTGCAGATTAACAGATGTGGTAACTTTAACTAAAGAGAGGACATTTCTTAACCGATTACAGGCAAATTAAGTAAGTCAAGGCAGATATCATGACTATAAAATGCAGAGAGATCAAAAGGCTATTTCAATAATTTAACCAGTGCACCTTTCTGCGGGTGCATCGCTGCCGCAGAATAATATTTCTTACTTAAGGCAAGCACTGCAGGAGAGAGATGGCACACAGAGAGGAGCCTATGATTAATTCACACTCCCGCAGTGGGTTACAGTTGGTGTGTTCTTGCTCCCGCCCCATGTGCTGTGTGTCTCTTACCCTGAACCTCTACAAATAGAAAAGTGGTTCCAAGGTCACTGTTTGTGGTAGGCGGACAAGACAGAGAATGCTTCACCACTCTAACAGTCCTCTTTTCTGATGTGGCAATTGGATGTGATAGATGGAATATGGATGGAGCCCTGTGAGGGTCCTCTTTACGATTATACTGACCTTTGTGGCGCTGCACAAATACACAGTCAACAACTTTAAAGGCCAACAAGAGTTTTATCTGAGCTGCGTTTCACAGAACTTAATGAACTATAGATTGACCCTTGCTGCACATTTACATGCTGACTTGATAACCAGCGGAAGGTGCAAAGTGAATGACCTTCCCTGTGTGATGTCCAGCTGACTGCAGCAGTGTGGCTCATTGATGCTCGGAGGAGGAAAGGTGCTGAGTCAGAGTACTGACTGACAGATGGACACTGCAGGAGTTTTGTTTTGAAACAAAATTTTGAACTGAGCCATGTTGGTTTTTAAAAAGCTGACTTTTCAAAATGAAACAGAGTCCCCAGAGGGTCTCTGTCCCCAGAGACCCTCTGGGGACAAATGTCAAATGTATGAATGCTTATGGAATGAATAAGAATGCAGAAGTTTTCTGTAAAGCAAGTCACGTCAAACTGTCTTTGGGCATTAGCTAGTCAATGGTATGAGACAGCAAATGTGATTTCTAAATACATTCTTTTGTGTGCAATATCTGCAGTGCGCATGGAGCATCTGTCTGAAGCTGCTCGGTCCAACCAAGGTGCAATTCGTGGAAGCCAGGAGGAGATCGTAGACTACCGCCGTCAGCTCCAGAGCCGCATGATTGAGCTGGAGACTCTTCGGGGAACCAAGGAGTCGCTGGAGAGGCAGTGTATGGAAAGTGAAGACAGACACCACGATGATCTCAACTCCCTACAGGCAAGAAATCAACACAAACATCTCACTTATCCCACACAGGGAAACACCACATTCATTTCACTTCCTTTCATACCGTCTGTATGACATTTGACCCGGACGGCTATGTTTTCTTTTCTTTTTGCAGGAGACCATCAACCAGCTGGACAATGAGCTGAAAACCACCAAATGGGAGATGGCCAGCCAGCTGAAAGACTATCAGGAGCTGCTGAATGTGAAGATGGCTTTAGATATTGAGATTGCTGCTTATAGGTTAGTCAGGGTTTACACATAATTCAAATAATTATTTGGCTTCTTAATGACACAAGTTATTGACATTTTCGCTGACTGTGTGTCTTTGTCTTTGAAACAGGAAGTTACTGGAGGGAGAGGAGAATCGCTTCGTGTCAGGAGGAGGTCCGTACTCTTACCTGGAGAGCAGAATCTCTTCCCACTTGAAAGTGAAAAGTGAGGAGATCTCAGATACAGTCATAGTGGAGGAACAGACAGATGAGACCCAGGTTACAGAGGTGACAGAGGAGGCAGATGAAGAGGAAGAGAAAGAAGAAGAGGAAGACGAAGGCGAGGAAACCAAAGAAGAGGAGGAAGGAGATGAGGAAGGAGAAGATAAGGAGGAGGAAGGAGAGGGAGAAGTAGAGAAGGAGGAAGAAAAGGGAGAGGAGAAGGATGAGGAGAAGGGTGAGGAGGGAGAGGAGAAGGGTGAGGAAGAGGAGGCAGGTGAGGAAGAGGATAAGTCTGAATCTCCAGAAAAGGCTGCATCCCCTCTGCCTAAATCTCCTGCTGTCAAATCACCCGTGTCTAAATCTCCACCAAAATCACCAGAATCTAAATCACCAGAATCTAAATCACCAGAATCTAAATCCCCGATGCCCAAATCCCCGATGCCCAAATCACCGGCCAAGTCGCCTGCAGTCAAATCCCCAGCAGGAGATGAGTCAAAGTCACCTGTGTCAAAATCCCCACCCAGCAAATCCCCTGAATCTAAATCTCCTCGTCCCAAAAGCCCTGAACCAGAGTCTCCAGAGAAAGAGAAGGCCAAGCCTGCCGCTGCCAAAGACGCACCTAAAGAGGAGAAAAAAGAGGAGAAGCCTCAGCCTGTCAAAGAAGAGAAGAAGGAGAAAGAACAACCTGTGAAGGAGGAGAAAAAGAAGGAGGAGCCCAAGGAGAAAGAGCCAGAGAAGGCGGACAAAGCCGATACAAAGAAAGAGAGCAAGGAAGACGAAGCGCCAAAAGTGGATGACGCTTCGAAGCCGGCTGCTCCCAGCAAGCCCTCAGAGGACAAACCTGCCCCCAAGTCTGAGCCTAAAGAGAGTGCTCCCCCCGCCAAGGAGGACAAACCCTCTGCTCCTAAATCAGAGAAGGCCGAGCCGGAGCCAAAGCCTACCCCTAAGGCAGAGCCCGAGAAAACAGAGGGCAAGAAGGAGGAGAAGAAGCCAGAGGAGAAGTCTGCACCTAAAGCCGAACCCGAGAAAACTGAGAGCAAGAAAGATGAGAAGAAGCCAGAGGCAAAAAAGGAGACTAGTAAAGAAGAGAGTAAGGAGGTGAAGGACGGAGGGAAGGACGGAGGGAAGGCGGAGAAATCTTCTGGCACGGAGGCGAAGGAGAGCAAGGAGGAGAAGGCCAAGAAGTGAGACCGATAAGCTGTGATGGAGGAGAGGAGGAGATGCCAAAGAACTCTTTGGAGGAGGGGAGGTTAAAGAGCATGTGGAAGGGGCTGGATGTAGCCAGCTGCTCAGACGGGCGCTTTAATGTCCAAAGCAAAGCAGGTGATGGTATGTAAGCAATAGTGATTTCTGTAGCAAATAACCCCATGCTCCCTAAGTATGGCCATTACACACCCCTGATGCTTCTGATGTATGACTGTAGTGAATGCAGAATGCCCTCAACTCTTTATCTGAATGTGACAACTGCCCTTAATTAATGACAAGTGCATTTAAAATGAATCCCGCTGACGGGGACCGCTACACACGCCTTTTAAGGGTTAGAGATGTCAATATATAATATATATATAATAATGTAAAGCTAAAGATTGTGACAGACATTGACTATAAAAACATATATTTAAGGAGATACAAATCACTATATTATATTTACAGATACATCAGTAAGAAAGACTTGAATTTTGCTTGTTGTGCACCTTAATGCAGCTTCTCCTGACAGGTGAAGTCTCACTCTTCTGGTCTGCAATGTTAGGACAATGATGAGTATGTGTTACGTATTTACTGCTGAGAATATGCAATATGAAACATAAATAAAGAATGATAAATCAAACACAAAAGGCTTTTGGGAGAATCTGTTTACTTCTGCAAAAAAACAACTACAACAAACAATAGCACATTGACCTCAAGGGAGGATTTACGAAGGAGAAGTGTCAAGAGTAATCGTAGAAGGTGCGAGGCTTGGAACTGCACTGCATTGCGGCTGAGAGGGAGAGCTGTACCCCCCCCCCCCCCCACAGCAGCCACTGCACCCTTCCTCACGTCCCACAGACCACGCTCATGTATAAATCAGGAGCAGTGCTGCTTGCTTGAACAGAACAGACTCAGTTTTGCCTCTTTTATTTCCAGCTCTGCCCTCACAGCAAAAGAGGAAAGTTCACACCCTGAAGCAATGATTTTGTAATTACTAACAGCATCGAGTATCCTCAGTATCCTGAGAAGGCATTAGATTAATATAGAACTAAATCAACGAGATACAAATCCTGTCTTTTTTCATCATGACTTATTCTTCCACAGAAAAGGTGTAGCTACATTTTTAATAGGGTTTATTAACGAGTGCAGCCGGTTACAAAAGCATTTCATCACCTTTTTGTTTGGATACAGTTCTGACATTGGACACACTTTGGCCGACATTGGAAGGATTTCTCTCCCGGCGGGATTTCAGGGTTCTCTTCGCATCCAATGTCGTTTCATCCGATAGATGGCTTTGTGTTAATGGGTTCATCGACCACGTCACAAAACACAACAGGTGGAAGTCACAAATGTCATTACAAATTGGTTTTGAGAATTTGAAAAAAGAAAATGAAATAAACTAGGAAGATAAAAGTATGAGTACAAGTCTCCGATTGCAGTAACTCAACTAATGGTGGCTTCTTCCATTTACATACATCCATAAGTCTTTGAGGCTTGGATGTCTGGATTCAGTTAAATCCTGCTGAATTGGCACTTCAATGTGCAAGGAAATGAGTGATATTTTGCCGTAGACTGCTGCTATCTAATCATAAAATGAGAGGAATCCTTGAGGGAATTGTTATCAGCATCCTGAACAACGAGCTGTTTTTCTTCCATTAAAGCATCCAAGATGAAAAATGAAAAGGTCAAAGGCTAACTGTTGACTATAAAATATCATATTCCATGGACACAACTCTCTGGGGAAATGACTCAGCTCTCTGTAGCACTAAACCACAATGGCATAATAATCAGCTCGCGTCTATAAATAGAGCAGCGCAGAGAGAGGCGAGGCTGGCGAAGGATCAAACAGAGAAGCTTGGAGTGCACAACAAAGCATGGGTGCAACAGAACCTTAAATAGACCAGACACACACACACCCATTCAAGAAAATAACATGTCGTTTTTTTATTTTCAAACAGGTAAAAAGACTTTTAAAAAGGAATACTTTGCGCGTCAAAGAGCCACAAAGATAAGCTGGAGAAGTTACAGTTGTGCAGTACAGCAGAGAGAATCACAATTCTAGCGGTGACTGAAGAAGCCCTGAGGGTGGTTGTACTTGAATGGCTTCAGACGATTTGGACCCCTGTGAAAGAGAATGAGACGTCAGAGATGCAGTAAATCTAGTCAGATACCAAACTGTCTTTAGACCACATCTCGTCTACGAACAGCTTCTTGTGTCTGCGTACCTGACGGTGCGCAGACACATCTTTTCTCTGGGAAACTCTCGTGGTCCCTCCACGCTGTCATCTTGTCCTTCAGTCTCCAAATAGACATCCAGGCAGACACACAGGCGTGAAAACTGATTGGTCAGGAGCTGGTGTCCTGGTCGTGGCCCCTGCAGTTCATTTTTGAACACGTTGACCTCGCTCTCCATGGCCTAAAAAAGGAAAAGACGAGTCAGTTAGAGCCTGAAATATCTAGATGTAAAATGAGCTTGTGCATCAACAGAGCACAAGCTTATGGAACACGAGTGATCGATATTGAAAAATGCTCGTACTCGAAGGTTGTCGTCGGTGCGTCCACTCCGCTCTCCCTTCCAGCTGAGGGAGAGGGAGAAAAGAGGAGAGACTTCTGGGTAACGGGGACTCAGCACCACAGCGGCCTGGAGGTGAGCTGAGGAAGAAAAAGATCAAGACAGGTGGGTTATAAGACACACTTCTATTCAATTCAATTCTATCATCGGTGCTAGTAGTTTACCTGTGCCCCTTTCCAACACGGACATGAAGTACAGGTCGGTCTCCGTTGCCAGCCCAGCATCAGTCACATGACGAGTATATGGCAGATCCTACCAAGAGAGAGAGATATCACAGTGAGACATGTCCTGCACGAGGAGTGTCGTTATCTTTTTAAACAGGTCTGTACGTATGTGTGTTTATACATGTGCATACCATGTAGTCCTGGTGAGTGGACTGGGTCCAGCGAGCTAAACGCGAGATGATCTTGGCAGGAAAGAGTTGCTGACACTCGCTGGAGACCGGGATGATGCTGTGCTCTGGAGGACAGGAGCACAAACACACTCACTCACTCAAACTGTCCCACCTCTTCTTCAGGAGCGATCGATGTGTGGTTGTTTACATTTAACGTACCTAGAGAGGCAAACTGTTTGTGCAAAGCCAAGCGGGACAGGAGTCGTCCCCTCAGCAGCTTCATGGTGGTCTCCATGTGGCTGGCACACAGAGAACTGCCGACACGCACGCCCTGGAAAAATATGAGCATGTAACCAACGTGATGAGGGGGTAACACGCAGAACCCGTGCACATCTGGGATAATACTCGATTTCAACACGCACCTCGGAAGGATCTTTGGGAAAATGGAGTCCTCCTAGACTCTGAACCCACATGTAGGGATGGCCCAGATCCTCCACATAATCAGCAAAGCAAACAATCCTAATAGGAAAGTATGGGTTAATTCTGCTGGCTTGTGAGTCGCTCAATATCTTCTCATTTCCTTTCATTACTTGACATCCTCACCCGACTTTATCAAACTGGTAGCGGTTAGCTGGATTGGGTGTTTCTCGTCCCTGGTCGCTGGTGTAGAGACAGCTGAGTAGAGTGTCTGATTTCAGCAGGTCCCTGCAAAAGAAGACATCATTAGACTCAGACAGGTCCGGGTTACTGTATTTATACCAGTAAGTAGTTTTAGTTTGCGGTAGACGAGGCATCCATCTTGACACACGTTTTACAATCAACACAGACAGAGATGATAAAATACACACATATACACACACACACACACACACACACACACACCCTGCACTGATGGCTGTGTTGAGGTCTGTGGAGGTGGAGACCTTGGTCTTGACTGTCATAATGTTCAGATTCATCAGGTAGTAGAAGTGGAGATGGAGGATGCTGCCATCTGTGGAGACACGATGGATAACACAAGGTGATTAACTGATCCATTACTGGCTCACTACTCCCTCTATCCCCCTCTTGGTATTAATCCTCTCAGTGAGCGTCCACAAGGGGTTTCTTTACACTGCAGCGCATTGGTGAACAATAACAGGACTTGGCCGCATCTCCCTCCAGGGGGCACACACTGTGATGATGGTCATCTTTCACGCTCTCTGCAATCACAGTGAACTCCCCGACACCTACGCTGCTCACTTTTTGCTCTTACTGCAGATAGAAGCACTAGAAACACAAAGAGAGGTTAGAGAATATGCTTACAGCATGTTGTAGGTGCTGCAGACCCACAATGCTGCAAGCGTGTCTCTCCCCCCCCCCCTTTAGGTAGAGTTACGTCTGCAATGCAGATCCCCCTATAATATGTCACTATTCCTTTTACTGCCAGCAGAGGGAACACGAGGGTCAAATGGTGTCATGACATCATAGCAGACTGGGTCACGCTTACTTCCTTTCACTCACTATCTGGTAGGTGTATCAGATAGTGAGTTACCACGATACACAGCACAGCTACATTACAAAGGACTAGTAAATGTGACACTAAAATTTGAAGTAGAATGAGTTACCTTTACACTTGAGGTCTAAGCAGAGGGACAGAGGGTGCCTTTTCAGCATCTCCCGTCGTTTGTCATCCAGCTGGCCACCTGTAGTTGGCCTTCTTCTCTTCTGTCAATAAAAAGCAAGAGAAAAAAAAGAGATGAGGAGAAAGAAAGCGAGGCAAACTGTATGTTTGAGATCGTGACAATTAGCATCAAAATCTAGCTGCTTCCAGGAGAAACATGCATTTGACTTCTATTGTTATGGATATAAGGAGGCAACAGCTCAAAGGAAAGGCTGGAAGAAGGTGTGTCAGATCAAAGTGTGCTCTCTTGTATTGATTATTTAGCCCGTTTGCACTATTGTATGTTTTGTGTTATGCGGATTGAATGTACCTTGTTGTACTTGGGAAAAGCTAAAGACAAATTTCCACTGAGGTGGACGATAAAAACAATCTAATCTGAGCGGTCATAAGCAGATATGCCAGACAGAGGTTGCAACAAAATGCAACACATTTTATTCAACCTACACATTTACTTCACTAGAGAAACATCCCAACAGACAGCACTGGTCCGGTGCCGAGTGTGCATGCCTGAGGTGGGCTCTGGTTACAGTCACCTAGCCATCCTTGGGAAATACTTCTCAAACCCCCCCCCCTGCTGGCACTCACCCGGAAGCAGGAAGAGATCGATAGTGGCCACTCTCCAACCCGCCAGACCACAACGTGTGACAGCTGGGACTTCTGGGACAAATTGTGTGTCCGTTGCAAAGACGGATATAATAAGAAATCGTTGAACTCACTGACCGGAGGGTGTTAGTGTGTGTGTGTGTGTGTGTGTGTGTGTGTGTGTGTTGGGAGTGAAGCCAGGCCCGTGACTCACCGTTTTCTCCTGCTCCTCCTCTGCATCTGAGTCACTCTCATCATCTGGATAAAACCAGGACAAAGAATATTATGTTGGTTTTTTTGTTGGAGATACATCTCTCCCAAATACAACAACTTGAAATATTAAGCAGCATTGAGTAAAACCAAAGATGAACTGCACATCAAAGCTACGTGTTGGAGTGATACGTGTTCGTATGATACGTGTTCGTACCCTGGGAATCTTCTGGAGGTTTCGACAGAGCCTTGGCCTCATCCACATCACCACTTATTGAGACACACAGGTTCTTGTCTGACATGGAAACAAAAATAAATCACGACAATCAGGGCTTACATTCCTTAAAAAAAAACAAAAAAACAAAAACTTGAAACATAAGATATTCTTCCTCTAACGACGACTTACCACAGGCCTGGCCGTAGGCATTGGCTTGAACAAACAGGACATAGAGAGGTGGAGGCAGGTGGCGGGCAACCTCTGTCTGAATCTGAGCCTGTTCAAAAGGCATGGACAGGTACTCCTGCACTGGGATAGAGGCCTGGGGAAGAGGAGAGAGCAGAAATCATATCGTCATTAAGGGTGTCTATGTGGTGTCCATCAATGAAGAAACTAATTAAGCAGTCAATATCATAAATCATAAACGAACAATACATTTTCAAAATCAATACTCCGAGCTGCTGCGACTGCAACAAAGCCCGAGTGATAGTGTGGTCCTATCAAGACCTCTGTAATATGGCACCTATACCTGCATGATGGCATTGAGTCCTGGCTGCAGGCTTGTCAGATGTTCCTTCTTCACCTCGATGCTCTTCTGGATCTTCTCCCTTGTGGTCTGTGACTCCTTGTATTTCTCTGCCAGCCTGTACCCAAGCACAAACTTTTAACCGCTGCTCTATACTCAAAAAATAATTACGACTGTTTGGTTTATATTTTGGGCAAGCTTGTATACCTCTTCCGCTGTTCGAGCTCCCAGTCCAGCCGTGCCAGTGTGAGCTGGTGAGGATCATTCTTCGTGAGCTGAGGCCTGGAAATGTCCTGTGGCGCCTCCTGGTAAAACTCCTCCTCAGGCACCAAGTCTATTTCCTCATGCTTAGACCTGGATCAGGGAACAGTGTGTTAGAAACTATATTTGTAGTATATAACAATGGTTAACTTCAGCATGTTTTCATGGGTAGTAAGTCGGATATATTCTGTACTAACTTGAACTCCAGACACTTGCTGATCTCCTTCTGAAGATGCATCACTTCATACAGCAGGTTCTGTAACTGAAGGTGCAGCACATCCACTCTCTGCTTTGCCTGAAAGGAAAAGAAGGTGGTTACGGTTGGTTTACAAAAACAACCCTGGAAATAAATACATGACAAACAATTCGCCAAGAAGGATCAATAAGCAGGATTCAAAACTGGATCAATGAAGTCTCAATGAAACAAACCGGAGGGCGTATACGTTTTATCTGCTGACAGTGGCAGCTATTGCAGTTTGGTGGTTAAAGTAGTGTAATGGAAAATATGCTTCCAGAATCATATTTAGTTTTAAAGATATAAGTCAGACATATGACAAAGACATAACAGTTTTTTGCATGCCTTGTGTGCTTTGCAAGTCTCACCTGAGGACCAAAGGTGAATATTCTAGCATGAACGAGATAAAAGAATAGGTCCCTCTGTTTGGATTGATCAAATCAGCAAGGCACTCAAGTCTTGTTTGCTTTTGCTTACAAAACAGCTGAAAGGCTGATGATCCTGATTTCATGTTTGAATGTCTTCCAGCATCATCAGACCTTTGAGTTCTTGGAAACAATACGTGTCTTGTTGGCATGTCCTGGCTGACATCAGACCTTTGAGTTCTTCAAAATACCCGTTTTCCATTGAATAATTTACCTAGGTGAAGGGGGGTTTTTCAAGGATATAAGGACGTGATTTCGGTGACTTTTTCGACAGCCTCCCTACTGCACACTGAGATACGTGTCAGTGGAGACGCTCTCCTATTTGCAAATATTAAAAGACGAACCACGTTGATTCTCTCAAGACTCTGTTCATTGACATAGATTGGAAAACTCTAACTCTTCTCCCGATGGATCATTGAAATTTTCCATAACAGTAGAAACAACGTTGTTGGTGTTCCTCATCAGCACAAAAGAGTTGAGGCAGCACTTTTTCAGCAAATGAATGGAATGGAGTGAGCTTAAGCTACGCTGGTATTTCTGTTAATATCTGATGGAAGCTGGACAGCCTGTGAGAGTTGTGTGGGAGTTACCTCGTGCGTCTGGTCTCTGCCTCTCTTCAGTCGCATATGAGCCAGACGATTGAGTTTTTTCAGATTCATGAAGTGGATGCAGCTCTGCATACGTCTCTGCTCCACCTCAGCACACTGAGAACAGACAAAACTAGTTAGACTTCATCATTGTGGTGGAGACACACAATCAACTTTGGTGGCAATCATATATACAATGTTGTGATGTATTAGATTTACCAATACCACAAGAAAGTACCACATGTATAAAGTTTATACAGTGACAAGCCAGCACATCACTTCGATGAGTTTAACGAGTCTGACAGACACCGACTATGAAATCAGTCTATAATGACTAAGCAGTCTGGATGTGCGTACTATCTTAAATGTAAGATTCTTACCCCGTCTTTGGCTCCATTGGCTTTCAGCTCCTGAATCTCACTCATGAGTGTGGCCAAACTCTCACATGACTCTTTGTACTGCAGGAAGTCCTGCTCAGGGTCCCTGGCATCCAGCTCCACCTCCTCACTGTACACACGCACATCCTGGAAAATACATCAATACATACAGTAGATCACACCACTGTCGGCCATGCTTTAACTTGACCCCACTCAAGTGCTGAATCTATTACAACACAACTAGCAGGCAAGTGGTGAGTGAGTTAAGTCAGGTCCCAGACTCTGAACTTCACTCAAACTTCAACATTGATAACTTATATTTGTATGGTATCTGATTGGTAACAATATAACGTTGGTGCTTAGAAATAGTGGGACATCAAACCTAGTCCTTGTGCCCATATTTCATTCATCAACATATATTTTGTGTTTCAATCACATGAGGACCTTCATCAAAATCACAAAAACAGATTAAATCGCGGGTAGACTATCTCTCACTCACACACACACACACACACACACACACACACACACCTTTTCGTGAAAGATGTGAACAATGTAACTCGCTAGAGTGGATTAAGTACTTGGTACCTCTGCGTCTAACGTTATTTAAATTTGCAAACAAACTTGCTCGACTGTTTTGATTTCTGTATCTCGGCTACATTAACCTTGTCGAGGTGTATTTATGCCTTTGACCCCAGGCCTTCTGCTGTTGGTCTCCCTACACACTGCTGCCCCCTCCGTCGCCCTAAACCGGTCCGATCCGGCGGCGTCCTAACTTCACGTTACCTGCTGATCTCCCTCTCCGCGACTTCGCTTCGTCTCCGGTGTTCCTCCTTCAGTGCGGAGAACCTTCGGCTTCCGCTTCTTCAGGGCGTCCGACATGTCTGGCTGGATAACGATAGTGAATATATAGGCTTAAAACAATAAAATATCGATAAAAACGTTCGCCAGTTACAGTAACGTGGCAGCAGTATTTTTCTATTAGCAAAGTAGCTAATGTTAGCACTGTAGCTGTGCAATGGCTGACTAACGTTAGCATTCTGGCTAACAACCCTTAGCTTGTCGGCTCACAACGGTAGCTTTCCAATCAGTTACACAGCCGTCAATATAGTGTATGTTTGATGTGATGTGTATAACAAGACACAAACCTCCGTGTAGCAAAGATACGTCTGTGTTTTTAAAAACCGTGCTCAAATGCACATGTAACGTTACAGTACAAGGTACTTTGTTAAACCGTCGAGGATGGACGGAAGCCCTGCTTTGCCAAAAAACCCAGTGCATATAAACCAGCAGCTACACTGCCACCCACAAAAAAGGAAATAACCGGCATTGCAAGTCATTCAAAAAACCGCACTACACTAATAAATATACACGGTACAGTACAACTAGCAAAACATAATAATTCAAGGAAGGAAGAGAAAATCGCCTTGCCTGTGTTGAATGCAAAACCTTCTGAAAAACAACCATATCATATACATCCCATATGAACTATACTGTTCAAGTACAGTACAGGAACTTTCACATCTGATTAAAACAAAAACAGCCACACACATTCAAAAATGATTTATTCAGATATAGTGACACTTTAAGAATGTACAAAGACACATGACAAGGATCAGCATACTGAAGTTACATAAAAGGCAAACGTTTGCTCTACCAATGCTCTTTAACACTAAGCAGGACAAAGAATCAGTCAGTGCACCCTCACTTGGCCATATCGATCAGACTCTGCAAAGACGTGGGCACCCAAGTCTTCTCTCCTTGCACAAAAACAACCCCTCTGTCTATGTAGATGACAATACGCCCAAAAGTGTACAGCTGTTTGCCCTCATGCCGTTTGGCCACTAAGGGCATAAAGACAATGTTGTTCTCCTCTGCCTTAGTCTGGATAAGATCTTTAAAATTAGTCGGCACACCAGCACTGATGCCTCTGTGAGCCACAGTCTCGGCATCTCTGCGCTCCTGCATCGCTTCGTACTGGAAGTCCTTTCGTCTCTCGGTCTGTGTTAGGTATGCAATATTCTCCCTTGCACCAGGTTGCATATATCCACCTGTGGATATGAAAAATAATGAGTGCTGTAGTACGTGATGTTGCAGCAGAGGAAAAAAATGGCTGCATAATTATAATTTCATAGAGGAATGCTGTTCTATAGGTTTCATATGTTTATTTTCTGAGACTGTGTATTAATACCAACCCATGCCTGAAGACACCGCACGGTTCATGATGTCCAGAGCTTCGTTGAATTTCTCTTTAATGAGCGGCTGTAACAACAAGGCATCACTAAACATGCTTTTCCAGCCCAGGTACCATTTAGTGATTTCTTCATAGTTAGGACTGTTGCTCAACCATGAACACAGGACCTGTAATCACCAAAACACATAACAAAGTCACAAAAACATTTCATAAAATTGACTTTATACAATAATCAAATGGTTAACTGCTTCTTAATCACTTTTCTGTTCTGTGTAAGGATATTCACTGACCTGCAACCACTTGGTAAAGAAGTTTTTGTCCAGCAGGGACACCAGGCTGGAGGGGGACAACATTCCCTCCCAGTCCATCACCCAGTGAAATGGCTCCATCTGCTGCTGGTGAGGGTTGATAACCAGCTCCTCCAGACACAGAGCTGAGGAGGGACACAGAAGCCACCGTATGAAGAAGAGAAACCAGTGGCAAAAAGGAGAGACATGGAAGGAAAAGACTGCAGGGAAAACATTTTCTTCCACTGCAATGCCATACTTAAGGCTGATAAAGACATACCGAGTTTAGGGATGATATTTTTCACCATGAAGGCCTCCCATGCACCTGGGGTGAAAACATCTTTCCAAGGCTGCAGGATGAGGCGTGCTGAAGTGTCGCTGGGATGCCATCGCTGCAAGGCATTGGATAGTTTGCTCCTGATTGGTGGGTACAGAGGCTCTAGACGTGATTGGAGCAGAGGCAGCCAAGGATGGATCCAGGAGTGGATGGGGACTGTGTCAGTTAAAGGGTTCCAGTTATCCACCTATCAAACAGTAAACAGAGATGAATAAAAACACATCGCTTTGTAGAAGGCAATTATCCACAAGTAAATTATGTGAAATGATCAAAACCGTGGGAGTTTCTCTACATCTAAGTAAGTGTGTCTTTAAGTGGAGATGTGTCTTGCCTCTCGCTGTAGCCGGGGTAAGATCAGCTGCTCCATCAGGTGATCCAGGATCCACAGGGGGAGAATAGGAGCCCACACTTCCACGCAGTCCACCATTGGCTCCACTGTACGAGGCTGCCAGCCTGACACACAGGGCCGCATCACTGGGATCCACACTTCCCACAACAGTCTGGAGCGACAAAGACAGGACACACATGTCATCAAAAACAAGCTTTAACACCCAGCCAGCAGAATTAAAGCATGTGAATGTGTGAGCACAGCTTAGTTTGTGTGTGTGTGTAAAATGACCTGTGGTAAGGGTCCATGTTTGAATCTGGGGCACTGCTGTGGAAGTCTCTAGATTCGAGGATTGCTCTCCACTGACCGATGTCTTCCAGACAAAAAGAGCTGTCCTGAAATAGGGAAAGAACAGTCTGAGAAGTGGTAGCTTATCAATGATAAGATGAGTAAGGGATGATTATAAAGTTACCTCAGAAGGAGCTAATTGCAGAAACATACCTTCAGAGGGTCCCAGGAGCGAAGTTTCTCTTTAAGTAATGGCTGAAGAACAGCTACAGCCAAGTCTGCCAATCCCATAGTCTTGTATTCTTCATAATAGTCTGTTTGTAAAGTCTCAAAGATCTGGGCGCACTCCTGAAGACAGAGAAGGAAGGCACCAAAACAATCACCTATATGGATGTAATAACAGAGCAAGGTCTAACAAACTGAGACAGCCTGATAACTGTAGCTGTGTGTCTGTGTGTGTTCACTGTATGTATATGCACCTGCAGGGTGGGGGCCTCCCCAGGTGCCATCTCCCCAGAAGGAAAACGCGCCACCAATGCCAGAACGGCCTCCATTCTCTGAATGGCATCTTGCTCTGCATCCAGTCTGCTCTGCAGCGCTCGTGACTCGTGGCTCAGAGACACAACTACATCCTTTTCATGCTGCAGACGTCTGGCGGACTACAGGAGGCGGGAAATAAGATAGCAAAAGAGACAGCGTGTCAGTATGTAGAAGAAGAAGAAGTAGTAGAGTGGTAATAGAAACATGTAGAAAGTGATTGCCGTAGATATTTGGCAGATATTTTCGGTTCCTTCATACCTGTAATATGTCCTGTTCGGTGAGGTCTATCAGTAGCTGCAGGTTATGTTCGAGTTCAGGAAGAGCAAAGCCAGATCCCTTCTGATCCTGAGTGGAAAGGCTTGGTGGCCCTTCATCTGGAACACTGTGCTTGTTGGACATCTGACTGTAACTGTAATAAACCTTTTGTTCTCTTCCAGTCATATCTATTACCTGAAGATGGGAACAATTATGGGGAAAATAATATTCAGAGACGACGAGAAAATGGCAGCCGACAATTTGCTTACATTCACATTATAATGTCATCCACAGGGGCTTGTACTAAGTGTAAAAGCACAATTAACTTACGTCCCTGATGCTTATTATAACATTATGCCTAATTCAAAAGTGCCCTGATAACATTCCTGTGAGACAGCCGCAAAGGAGTGTTAATTGAAGTCTTTTCAAACATACCTTGACCTGTGCCAACTCTCCAGCGGATGGCACTGTACTGCGCCCTGCCAGCTTGCCTTTGGCCTTCAGCTCGTCCACAGTTCTGTAGGAGTACTTGGGTTTCTTCTTTCCTACAGACCCTGCAGGATCCTTACGCCACTGGCCTAGCTCCTTCTGAAACTCCTACACATTGAGAGTAATGTCAAAACAATGTTGAATGACTCTACAATATCACTTATGCCATTTGATCCAACAGAGGGTGTAGCTGGAAAAAAGAAGAAACTAAATTATTTTTGACAACGCTTTTTTACCTTTTCCTCGTCTTCCTCTGAGTCAACCACAGGGAAATCCTGAAGACTCTGTTGTGTTCGCTCATTGCCATAAGCACCCACTGCTCCCTTGCCTTTACGAAGCTTTGCCTCAATGGGGTTTATAATACCTGCAGTAATAAGAGGGTGCAAAGTTAGAGTATTTTAACTCTGGTCTGATACTCTACTGTAAAAGACACACTTTTTACTAAATGTTTACAACATAGCCTCCTCAGGCCCCCCCACCTTGAGCATTCTTGCCCAGGCCTTTGCCTGGTTGGTAGCCCATTTTCTGCAGAAGTTTCTGTCCGATTCCCTTTGTGTGCTTCTCCCAGTTACCGATGCCTTTACCAGACTGTATGCCACCTGCAAACCTCTGGGACTGGTGACTCCGGAAATTACCCTAGCAAAAAAATAAAATAAATACATATGTCAAAAAATACATATTCTTTGGACAAAATACTGTAAAGGGTAAATAATATAAACTCAACAAAATGTACCATCTGGAGTTTTTTGGGTGCAGTGCCGCGAGGAGGGGGAGGTGCTGAAGGACCCTCATCTTCAGAGTCATCAGAGCCTGCTCCTTCTTCTTCTTTTTGCTGTTGGCGTTTCTCCTCAGCTGCAGCCTTACGCAGACCACCACTCACAAAGTTCACTGGAGCACTGTAGTCTTTAGATCTAGAAAAAAAAACCACAAACAATTTACAATTATGTTACAAAAAAAAACACAGCAGTTGGTGTTCATGTGGACTATTTCTGTTGGAATGACTACAATGGGTCTTGTACTTAAGTCTGTTCCCCTTTGAATAGCATTTCCCCCCTGTTAGATTTGTGTTTCTCCCATTGGGGTGGGGGTTTAGGTTAGGTTATGGTTAGACGTAGTAAAGATAACTGGTTGGGATTAGGGTTGTGGTTGGTTTCAGATTGAGGTACCACAACAGGAGCATTGGGGCAGCAACAAAAATAAACCCATGCCTTACTTCTTGCCTCCAAAGCTAGGCCTCTCATCCTCGTCTGAGTCCTTGTCAGCCCAGATGCCATAGGTGGCCTGGTCCTTGGTCTGCCTGTGTCTGCGGCGGTCTGGATTGAACTCATTGGCCAGGTCCCAGTCTGTCACCTCAAAGCTCTCCACCTCAACACCTTCCTCTTCCTCCTCTCTCCTCCCATACAGATGGGACATGGACATCTCTGGATATCACAAACAAAGTACCAAGACGGTTAAAGTTCTGTAAAAACTCAAAATAATAAGCTGCATCAAGAGGCCATCTCCATGATGAAAGCCACGAGAGGTGGCTGAAAGCTCGCGAATAATTGTTTCGTTAGCTATGATCATGTGTCTCTGGGCCAGATATGAAGTAAACAACAATTAGCTAGCATTTTAAATCAAAGAAAGATACAAACAGCATAATCTCAAATAGCTGGCAAGCTATGAAACACCATTAACGTACTCTTCGTAAACATTCCTTAACAACTAACGTTACATGGATCTTCATATATGAAGGAACAACGTGAAGACAGTATTTACTTACAAAAGCTAACGTTAGCTGACGTAAACGGCGCGCTTTACCGTGAGTGTTGGGCAATTATGTAAAAACTGTTTTCTATAACTCACCCGAAATGTTCGTTATCCCCCTATCCGTAAATTAGCCAAACATTAATTCCTCTGTGTCAGTAATGGAAGTTAAACTAACGTATTATTTTTACGCCATGTTTTACGAATACACAAGTACTTCCGGTTGACGGCGTAACTGCCGGTGTTGCACCAAACGTTGTACCCTGTTTATACCACGAAACAGTGAATCCTTTTTTAACACATATTAACTCATTTCATAGTGGTTAAGTGCTCCGGACAGCTACGTGCCCCCCATCACTACTCGTCTATGGTCTACAGTCCGTTTATTAACTGGTAATTTGACAAACACGGGGATACAAAATTTGGCATGACACCGGAACAGGATATGCTTGTGTTACACTCAAAACAGTCATATTTGATTGGCAGCACTTAAATAAGAACTTTGTAGAAAACAAAAAAAAAAAATCACATGTCTGTTTACGAGGCACCTGTGAAATAGCATAGATGTCGGAAACCGGGGAGGAGTGGCAGGTGGCCAGGCGACGAAAAGGCGCAGCGCGGAAAACAAAATCACTTCAGGTGTCCTCAACATGCAGCCAGGAGGAGCTGGATATCGGGAAAACTGTCAAACGAATCCGAGACACAGTGTAAAAAGTCTAAGTCCAGCTATGCAGCAGTCTTCTGCATTATTATTCATGTTTCATGCGGAGTTCAGTAATTCTGCTTATCCTCCCACTCTGTAGGTCTGAGCTGAGATGCGAGGAATTTTGGCAAGTGTGGAAAGGCGAGTAAGCTGGACAAGTGGAGTTATTACAAAATATTTCGTTTGGCTGTGAAATCATTTAGCTTGCGGCTCAGTGACCCTTTCAGTACTCTTGTGTTCAGCGGCAGGATCCGCAGCCCTATCCAAACCTCCAGAGAACAGGGACACCGAGGGCCCCGCCGACCAGCTGGGGAGCAGCAAAGATGGCAGACTATGTCAACAGCTGGAGTGTGTGTGTTATGGCCTCGGCTCCTTTTCCTCCTGTGTCTCAGCTCGCTTCCAGCTTGCCATGTTGCTGCTGCTGCTGGATGCAGGACAGGTTAGAGGATATTTTTTATCCAATGAGATAACAAACCGTCTACATGAGATCATGTTCATTTTAGGATCTGTGTCTCACTGCCCCCCTCCCTTTAGATCCCACTGAAGGACTGCTCTGTTTATGATCCTGCATTCTCATCTGGAGAGAGGGCTGTTTTGAGAGAGCTGGGTCTGACTGTACTCACAGAGAATGAGGTCAGTTGTTGGCCACTCTTGTTTTTTTTTAAACTTGTCAGCACTGCCAAGTGGATTAACATGCATCAATATATTAGAACCTAACATGACTTATCTCAAGCAAGTTTCAGGTCGCTTGATTTTCTTAGCTTCCTGGCTGCCCGTAAGGTAGGAAATCAGTGCATTCTCTCTACCTGTATTGTGCAGGAGGGGAAGCGTCTGGCGACTAAGCCCACGCTCTTTTACCTGATGCATTGTGGGAAAGCCCTGTACAACAACCTTCTGTGGAAGAACTGGAGTGTGCAATGTCTTCCTCTGATGATACTCATTGGAAACGGCTTCAATGGCATGATGGACAGGTTAGTACAAAACATGAACGAGGGAGATGATGTTTAAGAAACTGGAGGAGAGGAGAGGTGATGTGATGTTTCCTGTCTGTCGTCCCAACAGAACAGTTGGGAGAGAGTTCCAGCGGGACTACAGCTACATTGCTCAGGCAGTGTCTGTGTGTGAGGAGAGACGGCTGCCCTGTCCGTCCCGTCTGATTGACGTCTTCAGTGACACCGCAGTCATCACCTTTCCCACCGGCAGCCTTAACAGACTCCCACAATCCACCTGGGCAGAGCCGCCTGAACCACAGTACCAACACTGCTCTGATCTGGAGATAATTCAGAGGGAAACCCAGAGCTGATACAGGAAATGGACACTTTTAATTTTCTATTGTTTCTATTTGTAAAAGATTTTTTTTTAAATAAATGAGTCCTGCTTCAAATTGAGGATTTAAAATCTTGCAATACTCATGGTAGTTTGTTTTAAGGCCTTATTTGGAAGCAAAAGGGACCGTTGAGCATCTAGAACTGGTTCTGCCTGAAGGACCAGTCTTTGTTTGGCCACGCCTCTCATGCGTTTTGTCCTAATCACTGGCAGACATGCTGTTTGATGAAGAGAGGCAGGGGTTTAAAGATGTGATTGGGCCAGCCTAGTGTCAAGAAAAAGACTGATCGGCTTATGAGCCGTCAGACAAAAAACAAAAGACCATTATTTTGGCCCAAAAGGCACATTGGCCCACTGAGAATGTGCCCGGTCTGCCAGCTGGCTAGTGCAGCCCTGTTCCTCATACTTGCTGGTCAAGCACATCTCTGGATATCCAACACTTTTTCAGTGTTGAAACGTACATTTCGAAATACCCTGAACAAAAAGTTCAACTTTAACCTTGTTTTTATATGATGGTTTTCTAATCTTAGGCAAGGTTGTGACTGTGCAGAATGATGTTTTACCATGGTACACATCAGTGGCTGTCTGGAAGTAAAGAAAACTGCCTATGGTATGTTTTGTAATGTGATTGTTAGTAATGTATACAATATTAGGTGTAGTCATTTAGATTTAGATGAATCTCCAGTTGAGCTGTTCTGGGCACATCAATTGTTTGCAGGTGGTTTGATAGCATCTTACCTTAACACATCATGTTTACATGCAACCACACTATGGGTGCATGTACCCGAAAAAAGCCACATCACTGGTAAACCAGATTAAAAGTTTATTTTTGAAAAAAACAGCACTCAGCAGTACAACCCTCTCCCAGCATCAGCAATAACATCTACAAAACAAATACTCAAAACCTCACTCTCTGCTGCTAGCTTCATATTCATTCTAGGATCCTGGAAGAGTTTTCTATTACAGCAGTTACTTGGAAAAACTTGACTACAACACTGTTTTCCTGTTTTGATATATTTTCACTCTTCAGCTGTCCCATTAGCAGTGACTTTATCTGCTGCTCTGTTCACCGCTGTGTCTTTCCCTCCATTGGCTTTTGAAACAACATCTGCCCAGGTTCCTTTGCTCTTAAGGACTGACGGGCTTACAGCGATGTCACAAGCTCCATTTATGTCATCATTAACCTCATCTGACTCAGACTTCATCGCAGTAACTGTTGCATCAGATCCGATCTCCCCATTGACTGTGTTGCTGTTTGCGTCATTTGGTGTGCTGTCCCTGACCTCTGACTCCCCATTCACTATCTTGACCTCAGCCTCTGAAGCTGCTCCGTCACTGTCTGCTGCGTCTACATCTGTTTTCTCCTCATGCCCGTTCACTTCAGCTGGCTCCACCACATGACCATTAACTGAAGCAGTGGCAGCATTCTTCACCAAGGTCTCTTCCACCATCTGCTCCTGTTGGCCCTCGCTGGTATCCTCCACCGCTACGCTTCCTCCATCCTCTGCTTCCTTCCTGCTTCCTGTTTCTTGATCTGAGCTTTTCTCTTCTCCATTCACAGTCTTTGAGGCGACGAGCTCGTCGGTCACTATGAATCCCAGTTCTTTTGCCACCGCTGCCTTTAGTTCTTTGTGTTTCTTCCTATACTCCTGGAGCCCGTCTCTATGAAAACAATACATTCATGAGTGGCTTCTTACCTAACAGCACACTATTGAAATGCACATACATGTTGCTGCAGCCAGTTGTGTTTGAAAAGGTGATTTGAGATTTTAGTGTACAATTCTCTAGAGTTTCCAGTTTCTTGTACTATGTGTTGGGTTTAAAACACATTTCTTACATTTTTGTAACAGCAATAACAGGTGTGAAATATTCAAATGGCCTTTTTAAAGCATTTTTAAACATGTAGGTAAAAGTTATGCCTCGTTTAGTATTTTAAAGGTTTGATTTTTATTCATAATTTGCTTTTTTGGGGTATAGTTTTCATCATGGAGAAGGTTAGCAACAAAACATCCAGAAGAACCAAAAAAGTATCAAAAATAAAAGTGCAGAATGACAACCTTTCAAAGTGTTATATCTACTGTATCATAATTGATTAGCAATGATAAAGTCACATCACAGATATAGCAGTATTTGTTGGCCGACAGTAACAAGGAAATGCAAAAATATGTCTCAAACAGTATCACTTCCTTACTTCACCAGACAGAACTATTTTATTTTTCAACAGCAACATGTTCGGATGAGCACATATCGTGGTCATAGTTCTTTAAAAAAATGAAAGGAATTAGAATATTTGTTCATGCTAAGTGTTTTTACTATCGACCAATACGTTCATTTAGGATTTTTAAAGATTAGGATATCAGTATCCTCTTAAAAAGTCTAATATTGTTCAAGCTACATTTCAACACAGTGCTTCAAAAAGTTTTAAGCTTGTGAATATTTACCTGTGTGTAATGCTCCTGATCCCGGTCAGCAGAGCCATTTGCTCCAGCTTAGAGTCAGATGTGGGACTTAGACACTGAGGACAGAGAGGATAAGTAAGTAAACACTTTTTTTTTTTATTTTTTTTTTAACTTTACTTTGTACGGTTCAAACAGGTCAATGGTGTCAGAGACCACATGAGCTCCTGGACGTACCTCCACTGTCTGCTCTGTGCAGTCAGCTCCTGCCTGTCTGAGAGAGCGTTCCACCTTCACCGCTTGCTTGGTTATAGTGCACAGGAACTCTTTGCTGCAGCATGACTGAGGGTGATCCTCTCCAAGCTGAGAGAGAAAATAACCGTACGATGACATGCACATGCAACCAATCTCTCTCAAGCGCAGCTCTCACACGCTGATATACTGACCATGGAGGTAAAAGCAGTGAGAGCCTCTTTCTCATGGCTCATAGCACTTCTGTAGTCTCCCTTGCTGCACATCCACTGGGCCAACAGGTGCCGACTGCACGGACAAGAAACCAAAGAGGGAAATTGTGAGGATGTTAGGAAATAGGGACAAAATAGATTAACTTCATTTTTCTTTTTTTTTTTACAAAATATGAGTGCTATAAATGGCGTCTTACTTGAGAGCGGTGTGCAGATGTGAGGGACCGAAGAAGGAGGTGTTGAGTCTGAGGGCGTTCTCTAAGAACTTACCTGTCTGGTCTCCAGTCAGCACCAACCCAAGACAGCCCTGCAAGAAAACAATGAGAGTGTTGCCATTGTCGAAAAAGTAAAAATTGTTTATAAAGATGTTGTGGAAATCCTTTTTTGGGTGCTTGTCGTAACCTACATCCAGTGTTGCAGTGTAAGGATGGTCCTCTCCATGGACTGTTAGCATTAGCAGGCGAGCTCTGAGGAGACACTTCTGGGCCAGGGCAGTCTCCCCTCCAGCAAACACATACACACCCAACAGGGCCTACACATAACAACAAAATGATAATAATCACACTCTACACATATGGCATAAAACCCCTACAGAAATGTGTAGTAATGGACCCAGGGGTACAGTTAGGATACATCTATCTCACAGTGACCAGTGGTTCTATTTCCAGTAGCGGTACGTGTGGATGAACAATGTGTAGCTATACTCACATATTGGTGGATAGTGTTTGGATGGTCAAAGCCAAGCACTCTCTCACTGATGACCACTGCTTTCAGCTGGACGATGCGAGCCTTGGGAGCACAGAAAGTCACAGCAATGACACAACATAATAGCCAGCTGTCTATCAATGTCTATCAATGATTACAATCACTTCATTACCTCCTGAAATTGACACAGACAGTTCGGCCTTTCCCTTGGTTGCATTATGTCGCTGCAACATGTGTATATGTAGCTGTAACAACTTGTGGTGCAGTGAGCCTACCTCAGCTGCCTTGCCCTGCACGAAGGCCACCTTGGCCAACAGACTGTGGCAGTAACAGGCCTCAATGTGCAGGTTGTCACACACCCTACCAAACAAGTAGGATGCTTCTTTCAGGTGTTCATGGGCCTGATCCAGCAGACCTGCAGTTGGGAAGTACACAATAACGTTGCACTTTTCATTCAGATTTTGTTCTAAAACAGACATTGAGCACAAAGATTACAGATACATGAATCTGCAGAAAAATGACCCGGCCTTATTGACCCACCCTTCTTCATGAAGTTCTGTGCAGCTTGATATGCTTTTGAAGCATCCACAGTTGGCATGCAAATGTGTTTGACAATAGGGAAGATGTTGAGGATGTCGTCTGGACCAATGGGAGCTTTATTTTGGTTGTCAAGGACGTAGTCTCTCAGTCTCAACTGGTGAAGACACAGAAATAACAAACATACTTTCCCCTGTAATTATACAGTACCTCTGGAATTTAGCAATTTAATCTCATTATAGCATTATTAATATATGTGTGTTTCAGTTGTGACCGATGTCTGTTACCTGTACTCCAGTCTTTAAACAGAACTCTCTGAGCAGAGAGATCTTCTGAAGGCCGTAGTGCTCCACCAGGTGGTTCGGACCAGAGCTGTCGCAAATAAAAAGTACAGTTATTCTAACACTGAATCTGAGCCATTGTGTAACTAACAAACACGGGGAGAGACAAACAAATGCTGTGTCCTCACCCAAGGCTGTCAGAGATGTTATATGTTTCAGCAGCATTCTGGCAGATCAGGTTCCACAGCTCGGCCCCTGCGAGCATGCTCCAGGGCGTACTTTCAGAGACCCCGGCCCCGGCTCCGGCTCCGGCCCCGGCTCCGGCTCCGGCCCCGGCCCCGGCTCCGGCCCCGGCCCCGGCCCCGGTTCCGGCCCCGGTTCCGGCCCCTCGACCACGGCGCCTTGACTTCTTCTTAGTCTCATCCCCAACAGGTGCGGGTGTGAAGTCAGGAACTAACAGGCAGCACAGAAAGTGACTGACAGCTGCAGAGAGGCTAGGCACATCCACACCCTGCAAAGACATAACCGAAGTTATTCGTTCAGTATTTCTGCTGCAGTTTAAATTCTTCAGTTCAGTCTTTCAGTGTTTTTTCTGTGTGGACACACACCTGCACCTCGCTTTGAGGTGTGCAACATAAGAATGAAAAGGAATGTACAGAATACTGTAAAGTACCTGGAGGAAACTGTTGAACACTCTTCTTGTGGAGCGGGTGAAAATTTCCCCGATGACCAATCTCTGGTTTAGAAGAAGAGAGGAGTGTTAGTCTTGATGATGTAACTGTGCTTTCTAAGTTTGACTATTTTGCAAATCACACACACCATTATATGCCTCAGGCCCTCCTTGTGTTCTGATTGGCTGATGGTCGTTATTACATGGCCCAGATATCTGAGGTTGATGCCTCTATGGTGTAGCGCCTGTTTTAGAGAGACTCCATCCATTGGTGCCTCATTGCATTGTAGGCAAAACTCCACCTGCACACACACAAATACAGACAAATTGTGAGTTGGTTGCATGTTTTGCTGTACATATAAAATGCTCATATTGTAGTACTGTATGTAAACACTTACGAAGGCTGGAATCTGATGTGTGATGATGAAAGCAGCAGCTTCCCTCAGTAACCTCTCCTGCAGCTTCGTTGACTTACTTTCACCAGGAGGGAAGGATACTTCTAAACACAAAACACAAGACGCATGCCATATTTTGTTCCAGCAAAAAGATATGACTGTGTGCGTTAGTGTGTGTAGTTTCTCATGGTACCTGGAGAGAAGACGCTTGGGTTAAAGAGCATCTCAAAGATGATGTTGCTGACTGAGCCCACTTCTTTACAAGCAGCTTGTACTGCCTCAGTGGCTCGAGAATCACCTGCAAGCATATGAACACTTGTCAAGTAAATACAGGATATATAATGGACAAAGTTCTCTATATGTTAACTTTAACTTTAATTTCCTTTCAGTGAGTTAGTTATCTACTAAAACACATCTTACAAGCTGTTGCACATTCTTCAAAGCCTCCATTCTCGTCCAACGTCTCCCTGACACGCTGAGTGAACTGGTAATGTCTTAACAAAGCAAAAAGCAAAACTTCAACTTGTTGTTAAAACTTTTAAAACTGAGTTCAAAGTGTTTTTATTTCATGTATAACTCACTTGTGCTGGGTGAAGGCCTGCACCAGCTCTGGCCTCAGTCGACAGAGTCCGTGAGGGAAGCTCCTTGGAAGCCCAGAATCTGATCGATAATTCTCTGGCCAACCTTCTTTTACACAACCCTTCTTCTCCTCATCCTCTTCACAGGTTTTATTACTCTCCTCTTCTTCATTGACTGTCTGGCCTTCTGTCTCCACCTCTGGGCAGAAGTTGGCATCAGCTGGGAAGATCCTGAACACATCCAGTATGTAGAACCTCCCATCAGCGCCCAACAGTCCCTGAGCGTCCACTGAGGTGAACAGCGGTACCTTGTGATCGTTGGGCCCCACAACAACATGTCTCTGGAGAGAGAGAGATTTGGCAGCCATGGCCAAGAGCTCTAGGAGCCGTCTGCGTTGGGGGGACTCTTGGTGTCCTGCAGTTACCCCGTACAGCAAGCCTCTATAGAGCAAAAGAAGAAGACAATTAGCAGATTAAAAACACAAAAATGTCTGCCTCACTGTGTGACATCACTACCACTGTGGATTGGTGAATAATGGGTCCACTACCTTGAGGCGGGAGTAGTTGGCTGGTCCTGCTCTGAGCCCTCCAACCCAGGGGCCAGAGCCTGAGCAGACAGACGCACTCCTCTGTAGTCTACAATGGCTGTAGGTAGAGTGTGCAGCCCCTGCAGCCCCACAATGTTACTGTAGGCCTGTACTCCTTTAAGCTCCAGCCTCTGAGCAGCCCTGCAAGTAGAAGATGGGGAAACATTTGGATAATCTGTGAGAAAATCAATGTCATTCTGAAAGTGAAACAAAACCTCCTTTAATCCTTTGCAGGCATATAACAACATATACAATTGAGAGCAAGTGGCTTTACATCTATAGTACCTCGTCATTGAACATGTGTTTTGCTCTCACCTGCGACCCCTGTCCCCTCCAAACATTGCGTTTGCTGCCCCTTGGCTCATGAACAGGCCGCCCAACAGGAAAGCTGGGTCATCAGGGTTTCCATTCACTGGCTCCACAAAGCCATCTACAACAGTTTCTGCCCCCTGCATCACAACCCTAACAAATGCACCGTTAACCTGAACAAAACAAAAATGAAGATTAGAGGGGGAGAAGCTGAAATCAGGTGATAAGAGTCCTGTTATAAGAGAACTGTTTTTCTTGGTTACCTGGAGCAGAGCTCTGTCCCGCTGCAGCCTCTCCTCCAGGCTGCCATGTGGAAGATCTCTGGCAGCTTGCAACTCCTCATTCCAGTCTGGAGCCTACACATATCACATATAGTTACACATACTATCACTGCCACCAGCACGCTACCCTATAAGTAGCAACAAACAATTGTGTGCTGTGTTGTAAATAACCTGTGTTGCTGACTGTTCATCCACTCCCAGTCGGCTGAAGGTGTTTTTATGAGTGCGAGAGGCGCAGGAAGGCCCGAGCCAGCTCAGTGTGTGGTAAGGAGTGGGCATCCCCTCTACTGGAGGTAACTGAGACCTGAAGGAAGAAACGTTGACATTATCAGTCACTATGATCATTTAATGATTTGAATTTGAAGCCCCACTGTTTCTGGATTCTGGCAAACTACTGTAGTATTCATGCTCCCTTAATGTATAGGTAGTAATGTTACCTGTTTTTTAACGTGGTCAAAGTTTGTTTGAAGGCAGGGCTGATGTGACAGAGCAGGTCGGTGAAACTGTGACAAACTGGGGAAGACTGTGCGGGACGAGGATCAAATACTTCTTCTGTAGATCTGAGATGAAGATAATTGAAAATAATTGATAACTAAACTGAAACATTCATGTAGTTAAAGTTCAATTATTTACACATTAGTTTATTCAAACATAATGGAAATAAGACAGCTAGGCCCATCATTAGCCTTTTTATACATTTTCTACTATAAGTTATTGCAGCCATGAAACGGAAATAAAAATATCTTTACCTATTGAGGAAGAACCCTTTAGGACAGGAAGTGATCTCACACCGCCGTCCCTCCATTGTCACCACAGTGATGTACAGGAAGTCTCCCTGCAGCTTCCTGTGTCCTGGAGCCGGGTTCCAACAGCTGAGAGACAAGTCTTTCAGGTAGCTGGGGGACTGATGAGACGGATATAAAGTCACAGAGAATCAGTGTGCCTGTATGACTGAGGCCTGGCCTAGTGTGAAACAAGATTCCAGGTGATTACGTACCTCTGGTTGGGAGCTGTGTGGTAGCAGGGCCATGAGTGGTCTCTCTGAGGAACCAGGGAGGAGGTACTCAGGGGGCGCTCCATCCTGGTTGGTTGTTTCTGTTTTTGTGTTGCTTAAAGAGCGTTTTAGGCTCTTTCCATTCGGTAAGCTGGAGTCTGCACAGGTAACGAAAGGAGATCTTCAGTATGAGCTTGTTTGTCAATTGTTGTTTCTTTGAATTACCCTTTTGTCTAAGTGTACAGTGTGTGTACCTGGTGTTTGTGTGAGTGTCTCCAGTATGCTTGGTGAGCGTCCTTCTCTCAGTGCATCCTGAGGTCCAGATGCCCTCAGCAGCTCAAGCACACGAGCCAGATGGTGTCTGGCTGAGCGGGCGGTGTAGGGTTCTGGAAAGACACACAGCTGTATTATAGAGATTGCACTGGCCTTCATGAAACTGTGGACGCTCTTCTTAAACAGCGATAATGCACAGGACAAATACTCTGCTCTAGGTTGTCATGACATAAAATTAATTAAAGGATTTTTATATGTATGTTATGTTAGGTACCAATTTATCAATGGTGCATACTCATACAAGAGTCTGACAGGATATATACTGCACATAACAGATTGGCTGCAGAATATGTTGCAGTATTTTAACAGCTAGCTGGTGAGAGACTGAATAATTGGTTGGCACACACTTGTTATCTCTGCAACTATAAACCTTGTTATGATGACTCAGATAAGGTGAGTCAGCTTTACATTGAGGTGAGAGAGACTTCAGTGTGTGTGAAATGGAAAGGGTGATGGGTGTGATGAAAACGTGGACTGGATTATTCCATTCAATTCTATAATTAATTATTACACCATAAATGACCCGAGATATGTAGAAACATAGGTGCACATGTGAGAGAGTATAAAACTATATTGTTAAAAGGCCAGACAAACAACTTATAGAGTATTATTAGATTATTATTAAAAAGCTAAAACTGCCTAAAGATTCAAACAATTGTGTCAAAACTCATTATGAAGATATTGAATAAATTCTAAACACAATTATCCTATTCAAATACATGCAAGACAAAACTGTACTGACATCTGAGTTATTAAAGAAAAGCATGCTAAACATGTAGATTGACCATGAAGCTGAACTAAAAGAGAGGGCTCTCAAAGAAACCCACCTTCCACCAGGCGAAGGATGGCTCCTGGTTTAAGGCCCTTAAGGCTTTGCAGTTCTGCAAGGGGATCCAGAGTCGTACCAGCGAGTGCCAGCGAAAAGTTGGTACGTGGACACACCTCATCCCTCGAAAGCAGAGTCATTACTGCATCTTGAACAAGCCAAAATCCATGGACCTACAAAGACACGTGGTTCAACACAGCAAGTAATGCCCAAATATAGATTATGCCTGCCAATAAAAACTGTTAGTTTCCATCTTGTTATTTACAAATTAGTGAACACTAGGGATCAGAGAGGAAACAACAGTGTGGCTTTGTACCTGCAGCTCAAATGGCTCTACTCCGGCTCCCTGGATCTTCACAGGGAACAATGTGTCATCGTGTTGCTTAATGTCAACGGCATCCTTTCCACCAATCAGGCTCATTACATCTGCTTGAAGAAGACACAAAACTAACTAAGGATAAAGAGCACTGCACTGGACAAGCAAATAGGTTTTCTAGTTGTCCTGCCTTCTGCTCAGTATATGCTGGGATAGTTCCCAGCTCACTGTAGCTGCTGTAGAAAACGCATGAATAAATGAGAATGGTTTCTTGTTGAGAATCAAACAAGAACATTAATCTCTAAAATTATTATGAATTGGAGTGAAGAGTCTGTGTGTGTGAGAGTGCCTCAGGGCGACAGTAAAATTATGCAAGTAACTGTAAGAGGAAGGGAAAGTGGGGTGTGTCTGCTTTTTTACTCACAGAACCAGAGGGAGGGCAGGTCCCAGCGTGTGCAGTAACTTACAATGTGACTAAACCTGTTGCTTTTGACTCCTAGCCTTCATGTCACCACAGGGAGATGGGACAACCACCACACCCAGTGCTGACATGAGGAGACAACAGAATGCTAAGTCTCATATATTAATAAACCTAAAACTTGGCAGTAGAGCCAGCTTGCGTTCATGGATGCGTGCACATGTTATACATACAACACCGTTGGCATGTTTTTTTTGCACTCATCTCTGAAGATTTGTGTTCATTCTACAGTAAATCCCCAGCTCTTGCTGTCAATCTGGGACTACTTTTCCACTGGAGACCACCCAAAAAATAGCTTCCCTGTTCACGATTGGCTGGAAGAAGGTCCCTCCTCTCTGCAGGATTGGATGAGCCTCTTTTGTATTTGGATTGCTGTCTTACTACAACCGAAAACAGCATTTTTTTCAGCCCTGCCGAGCACTTATTTCTGAGGTTAGCTTGTACCATGAACCAGTGATTCTCAAAGTAGGGTCTGGGGACCCCCAGGGATCCATGGCACTTTGCCAGGGTGTCCGTAAAAAGTTTGCAGATTTATTATCTTATAATTATCAGTATATACAAAATTAATACATCTATTTTTACAAAGGGCTTCATATGTCAATAAATTATATTTTGATCTTTCAATCTATAATAGTTCATAGAACAGAATATAAAAAAGAAAGAGGCTAAATCAAATTATTCCAAGGGACATAGGTGAGGGGGTCCCGTGTATATTCTCTATCTGGGAAGGGGTCTTTGGCTGAAAAAAAATTGAGAACGTCTGCCATAAACTAAACAAGCTGAAAGAATTCCTAATCTATATGTAATATAGTCATGTTAAATTAAATTAAGCTGTAAATCCAGCTGTGCCCAAAGATTCAAAGAGTCAAGGCAATCCCACCTGAAGACGGGCAAACACTGACTCTTCCTAAATTCAATCATTTTGTCTTGTGAAGGCGGAGAGGCAGGAGTTCAAAGAAAGGCAGTTAGGAATGTGGCAATGGGAGAAGCAATTATGAGGTAGATAGGGTGGTTGAGAAATATATGGGAGTGTTTTTTTACAGGATAAACAGCTGTGTACAGAGATTTTAATACAAGCTAATCTTTGTCTTCTTTGTCCTTAAAGGATCATAACTGAGATTTTGGTGTCTAGGGATTTCAGGTTGATCTCAGCATGCGTCTGTGTGTATACATTAACCATAAAACTTTACAGTGCGGAGCAGATTGAAAAGTTGGTGAAAGAATAGCAGCAGCCATGTTCAGAGCAGCAGTGCAGTGCTAAATCTCCCACCCTCCTTACATTCTCCAGCGGGGGACGCACCATGAAAAAGGGAAGAAGAGGGAAGTGTAACAACAAGTCAGACACATAGACATAGGAACAGAAAAGAAAAACACATTACAGGGTTTCCTCACCAGCCTTGGCCTGATTTCTTCCTCCTTTCTTCACTTTGTCCTTCATGGCTGCGAGTTATAGTTTTTCCTGAGCTTTCCTCTTGTGCTTTTCCTTCTCTGTGCTGGAAGCTGCTTCCCCTCAAAGTCTTGCTTCAAACTGCTGAAGGAATGCACAAGAGAGGGAGAAGAATCGTGCAGCTGGATAGTTAAGAGAGCCCAGCAGAGTGAAAGTAAATGGCTGTCTGTTCAGGATTGTGACTCTTGCCCCTCTTTGCAAGGACAATTCGTTCAAGCTTATCTGTTCTCTCTGAGTGAAAAAGCCACACCCTCTTATTGCTCCACACAGGCTCATTACTCTTCACCTCTCTCACATTTTGTTGGACTGGGTGTGTCTATGCAACCACACAACTTTTGACAAAAAGTACCTCATGTTACAAATGTCACAAGGTTCATTCAGGGAATTTATGTATCCATGGTTTCATGGAAACAGAGGGATACAAACCGCACATATTACTGCAATCCAAGGTAATGAATTCTTTATTAGTGAATCCTCTTTATCTTAGACTCACATGAGACAGCAAACTGAAAATACAACCACAGTAAACCTGCCAAAAATGGGTGTGTCGATCTCTCAAGATATGATTGTAAGAAGCCTACGCTGTCACATATCACACATACCTGGGCATATCTCACTTCAAAGCAATCGTTAACATTTCTGCGTTAGGCTGAGCAGGTGATCTGTTTAGTATGGCAATAATGCCATGTTGTATTGATTGACACTCCAAAATAACATCTAGGCTTACAGTATGTTAGGCGGCATTCCCTAGTTCTATTCCACCTCTCAGCTGAATATTAACCCAAACATTCTAAGTGTTTGACATAATAGTACTGCAGTGGAATTGTTTTTATATAAAAATCCTCATTCTGACTATCACCAACATAAAATCTGCTGTATCATTGGTAAAAAAAAAAGTGTATATATATATATATATATATATATATATAGTTGGGGCTATAACAATGTATGTCCTGCACCTCAAAAAAACCATCCCATTTACTGAATTTAAAGAAAAGTTATAAATTATTTTTGCCTTCAACTACATGGGTTACGTACGAACTTTGTACGCCTCCTGAGTTCTCAGCAGAATAAAACCAATAATTAAAATCATTACACAACAGCTTCATATTTGGGGGCGGTGGCCTGGTGACGCTATGTTGCTTCATGTCGCCTTCACTTGTTCCTTGTAAATTTGCATTTTATGCAGGAATATTTGTTTATTTTGTACTATACGGGATGTTTTCAGAGACTGTGTTTGATTCAGAGGTTGGGAGACTCATAACTACTTTGTGTTACAGCGGAATACTGATCTGTAGGAAATGTAGGATTTTATTATTGTATACAAAAGCCGGACATTGGACCCAGGACGCTGTGTTTCAGCCGTATTTCACTATCTTATCATCACACTTTGAACACTCGGGCTCCACAGAAAACACTGTCATTAATGACGTCATTGTTTTAAACCGTTATTTGTCCGTTAGTCTGGTCGTTTGCGTCAATGCAGTCTGAGCTCGTAATACTGATTTCCGAAAACACTGTAACCAGCTGTCGTTTGACAGGAGACTGTCCTTGGCTAGCCGAGCTAGACTGAGCTAAACAACGAATACAAACCCTCCGCGTTCACTGTCGGTGAGTTTGAGTCGACCGTTGTCTGTTGCTAGTCCTAAAACGTTCACAACACCAACAGGATGTGAAGACGGAGAACCTAAAACCGGAGTCCGGGAGCTCATCCTAACTCAGCTAGCTAACATATCTAGCATGATCCTCTACCAACCTCTCGGATGGGATTGTGACACATAACGAGAACTATGCGTTAGCATTAGTTTTGTTCAAGACAGTATCAAGAAACCCTTAAGTGCTAACTCAACGTCAGTTAACGTTAATGTTGTGATGGTGTTTTAATCCTCTGTTTTGCTCTCATTTGGTTGTGTGCAGCTGAGTTCATTACAGGCTCGTGTGTGTGTGTGTGTGTGTGTGTGGCTCCCTACCCCCTCAGGTAAGAGCTGAGGTCTGGGATCAGGTCTTGGGCTGATGTCAGACAGTCCTGGTGCAGAGGGGGGTCTATCTCAGGCTGCCCCAAACATCAACACCCGAGACCTGTTTGACAACCCCACTCAGACTGTGGCAACAGAGAACAGGCCTGAGGATCAGGTGAGGGTGCGTGTGGGATTTTTTGAATGTAACTGTGTTGTTTGTCAAAGTCTGTTTCCTGTTGCTCCATGATTAGGGTTTAGGTAAAGTTATGGTTAAGCACGGAAGATATTGGAATTAGTTTTGGTTTTAAATTTAGGTAAGAGATAACACACATGGATGGGAAACTGACGTTAACACAGACACACAGATCTTGTGCATATTTTTTAGTGTTATGGTCTTTTTTCATAACAAAAAGATAATAAGGAATTGTTATTATGAAAAATATATTGGAGAAATTGACAATGAATCATTGATGTTCATTGTCTCAAGAAGAATTTAGAAATCTATGGTGCTGTACAGAAAATGGATCCAGTCTGACCTGTCAGAGTTATCATCATTTTGCAGTACACTGTCCATAGGTTATCTACTACATTAAAGATCATTTAAAGTCATATCATCATTTCTCATTGATCAGCTGGAGGTGCATAGAAGGCTACTTGTGCCCTAGTTGTTGATTAAAGTACACTCTCAATGTGTTATCTCTAATAATCTATTTTCAGTCCTTGGACTAGGTTGAGCTGTGATCAGGGAAAGCCTAAGAGGTTTAAGCTATAATATTTGACAGAAGCAACATACAATGACACCTTGTATAGTTTCAACACCATGCAAGTGATCAAATACTCTGTCACAACAGTTGTGTTAGAGATATAAATCACTCTTTTCAGATGGAAACAAGTGCAAGTGTTCAGAGCTAATATCAATGTGTCTGCCAGTCAATAGATGTGCCTGGATGGAGTATCATGAATCTCTTTCCTGAAGTTTGCTAAAGGAACTTAGCCTTTGTTTTGCATTTAAAAAAAAACCCAAATATCCAGCATATAGTCTGTAATCTTAAGGCTGGCAGTGCAAACAGGAAGGTATTACTTGTAAGGAGATTTTATTTTTAGGAAGGGTGCTCCATTCACAGTTTACTCTAAATCTTATTTCATATCTTGACACCTCAGATTGCTGATTTGGCAGTTGTGTGTAATGTGGGTGTTTGTTGTGCCGAGCAGTGGCAGGCTCTCTCTTTCAGCACACTAAAACAGGAGCAGTGAAGTACCAGATGTTGTACTGGTGGCATTGTTTGTGAATGTAAGATATTCAGTGGAAAAAGGTTGTTTACCAGCTGTAGTTGGATCAGTTGTGGAAAGAAGAAGAGACAAGAGACATCTTGTAGAGGGGGATAGAATAAAACAGGGCTTTGTGCTGCTGGCCAAGGGGAAGCCTGATCCTTTCCTATCCCAATTGTCCTTTGCTTTGTCTCATGGTCTCAAGTTCCTCGATAGGAGCTCCGACTTCTATATTGTCTTATTCTGGGACAGCGGTGAACGGGTGTATACCCAGGTGTACTGCATATAGCAGGCATTTGCTTTTTTAACTGAGCATTACTGCTGACAAGAAGAAGAAATATTGATTGAACATCATTTTTCTCCAGGTGTCGCCTGCAGTGGATGAGGCCTCCCCTTCTTCCACGTCCTCCTTTGAGATGGTGGACACGGAGTCGGTCCCTGCTCCTTATCAAGAAGTGCAGCCTCACTGGTTCTTCTGTCGACGGGCCGATGGTAACACCTCCTGGCTTCCTTTCAGCAGAGAAGACTCTGACAAGCTAGACAGGGCCTGCCACGCTGGTAAGCATGTGTATATACTTTACATGTACATTATATGCTGTACGCTATTTATAAAGGTGTGTGTAATTAGGTATGTGGAACTATAAACAGCCGTGAGAAGATACAATGTCAAAACATTACTGTTGCCAACACTTGCCTGGTGCCCAGTAGGACGCTTTACTCTCTTGGCAGGACATGCTCAGAGTTACAAGCGGATTAACAGCGAGTTTTAAGGTTTCAGGCTCATTATGCTTCATCGACAGTACCTTTGTTGTATACAGCCGCTTTTCAGGGGGGTAATGTATGGGGGCTATTTTCTTTAACACATTGAATATCTCCTGTTCATTGATAATCACACGCCTTCCCCACATCCATGTACTGTGCAGTGGGAGACCGGGAGGATGATGTGGTGATAGCTGTGGAGGGAGAGCGGTATGACGTACATGTCAAGGAGAGGAAGCGCTACGCTGTGTACTGGGAGCAAGGCCCCACTGAAGTACGCCGCTGTACCTGGTTCTATAAAGGAGACAAAGACACCAGGTTCATGCCTTACTCCGAGGACGTCAGCAAGAGGCTGGAGGTAGTCTGACACAGACCCTGAACCCCCCCCCCCCCACTACACTGCTCATTGCTGCAACTTCTATCTTTATTCTCTTCCCTAACTTTGCCTGTTCCTCACTAACTCTTCTCCTCTGTTTGTCTTGGATTCCTTCCCCTCTCCTCTCATTTTTCAGGACGCCTATATGATAGCGGTGACCTTGGACGAATGGAAAAGTAAAGTGGAATTTCCCAACGGAGAGTCTGTCATCTTACACAATCCGAAGGTCAGGCCGGTTTTTAATGTACATCACTATGTGCCCTATAATTAAATAGATGATAAAGTCACACAATGGTTTTTCTAGTTTGTTTAAAATCAGGTACATTGTTTCCTTCTAATAATCATCTTCTCCTTCACTTTCATGCTCCTCTCTCAGCTTATAATGCAGTATCAGCCAATAGCATTGCAGGATGAGTGGGCGTCCTCCCCCTCGGAGCAGGGACGGCCTCGCACAGTCAAGAGGGGAGTGAACAACATCTCTGTAGAAATACCTGATGGTATGTGTGTGTCTATGTGTGTACCAGTGAGAAATATACTAGAATATACGCTCATTTAACAAAGTATTACCCGCAGTTTAGACGTATTTCTGTGTGTTTTCTCAGGTGAACCTGAAAAGGTGGACCACCTTGTCTTTATGGTCCATGGCATCGGCCCTGCGTGCGACTTGCGCTTCAGATCCATCATACAGTGCGGTAGGTGTGAGTTTTGTGTCTGTGTGTGTGTGTGTATATATATATATATATATATATGCACCACACATA